CCTTTGTTACTGAAATTTGGGGCGTCCCATCTCCTTCTTGGGTGCACCTAGTAAAATAAAAAATTATATTTTTCATAAAAACAAATGAACAAAATACCCCTAAATATTCATGAAAATTTTGGTAATTTTTATCAAGCAAATTTTTATTATTATTATTTTTATCATGCTTTTTCCGATCAAATTTATGTATTCCCCAAATTTCATTGCAAGAATTACATGGTAAATATTTAAAAACAAAAAACTTTGAGCCATCAGATCAAGATCTAATACTCAAGAGCCAGGTTGTGACATTGTAACTCATGCCATCTTAGCCACCCACTCAGATATGACGGAGATTATATGGGTGGGGTAACTTAGAAGGGTATCGTTTGTATAAGGTTGAAGCCCTAAATAATCGAAGTAAAGCACAACTCTAAATAGTATTGAAATCATCTCTATTTATAAAATTTAAACCTTAAAAATAGTGTATAATGAGCATATCTATATATACTATAAAATATTAAAAATTGAGGACCTAAATATGCATTATAAGATGAATTATTTCCTAGATTTGAAATATATATATTTTTTTTCACGTCTATAATCTCGAGGTCGAGATGATTGATTTAAGGGTTTTTTTACATCAAAATAGCCTTATGAATTTTTGAGTTATGCCTTAATTTAATTGTTTAAGGCTTCAACCTTATATAAACTTTTGGGAAAGGGGCTTTGGTCGTGGTGATAGCACCTCACATTCTAGTTACCACATTGTAGTTTTCATTCCCACCGCTAACACTACTCTACTAAAGATGATGTCACTTTTTACCTTAAATTAACTTTTATTCTCATTGATCCCCGGGTACAATTTTGGCTAAATTGTGACCAAATTCCCCACGTTAAATTATTTGATAAAAGTTAATAAAAAGGAGAATGAGAGAGATTTTCAATGGAGTTTATTAATTTATTTATTAAGGATAATTTGGTCATAATTTAAACCAAAATGCATCAAGGACTCAACAAGAAAAAAAAAAAAGAAGAATAAATTTGGGGTAATAAGTGAAGGAGACTTTTCCACATGGAGCATTTTGGGTATATTGTTCCCGCCAGGGGGATCACATAATTTTCCCTATATAATATTCTTCTAATCGTGAAATGACATTATGTTACATTATAACAAACCATTTCTTCTGCTTTAGGGCTTTTTTCAAAGGGTTTGTATACAATGATACCATTTACCTTTGATACAAGGTGGTCACAGTTCTTTAGAATCATTTGATACCATTTGATATAAAATTTGATAGTTTGAATGTGTCATAAAGTTCAAATTTTTTTTTTTAAAGGTTGAGCTTTTTTCAATGGAATAATTGCAGCCATCCAATGTCACATCCAATGGTCGAGATTGATGTGACCACCATGTATCAAAAGTAAATGGTCTCATTCTATAAAGGATGCGGTTTGTATAGAGCCGAGGCTCTAAACAATCAAAATTAGAGCCTAGCTTCAAATAACATCGAAAAATGTGGTTTTAATATTAGAAATCTTTGTGATAGCCTTAAAACATATTTTTATCTCTAATTATAAAATTTAAAGCTTAAAAAATAGTGTAGATCGAGTAGATCTATAAAAACTTGAAAATCTTGAAAATTGACGATCCAAAACTGCATTACAAAATGCACTATTTTCAAAACTTGAAATTTATGTTTTTTCTTATGTCCATACATCTTGGCGTTGAGATGATCAATATGAGGATATTTGAGCATCCTTTTCTAGTGAAATTTTTGAGGTGGGATCTGATTTGATTGTTTGGACCCTCAGCTCTATATAAACTTTTGCCTTTATAAATAGCCCTTCCTTAAGAGGGAAAATGGTCACATGCCATAATTATGTTGGTCTGTAGGGAATCTTATTTTGTGAAAATTGAGGCCATAAATCAACCTTCGATTATTGCTAGAATGACGTAGGCGACCCAGTCAACAACACGTTCATCACATTCCGTCTCAGCCGCCCCAGCTGGGATGAAAATGAAAGCATTGTGCACAATATGAAATCTGCTTTAGGGTTTGGCCCCAAATGGGAAAAGGAGTTTTTCCTGAAATGAAATGCTAAAATCAAGTTGGATTGAAAAAGAAGTTATTTTCACAATGATTTGCTAAAAAACTTATTCTTATTGCAATATATTAGTATCCAAAATCATCTATAAAAAAGGCCCATTGCAGGGTAGAAGTTGCAGCGTTTTGTACATAGTAGAAGCTTGTCACTCACATATTTTGACATAGAAATAGAGGGAGAACCATTTCAAAAAGAGAGATAGATAAAAGTGTAGAGAGAGAGAGCATGGATGAAGCTGTTATTGTCACAGGAGAGATGATACTGGTTGATATAGATTACTTGTTCTAAACAACCAGTATCATCTCGCTGTGACAACAAATCTTTTCAATCCTCTCAACCATCATCATCATTGTCAAAGCCGTATCGCAACAAATTGGGGTCGGCCCCTTCGATCCTCTCAATGTTGTGTATTGTTTCTCCAGGCCAAATCAATATTGGTAAAAACAGCAAAGTACTTTAGCTCTTTTTACAAGCTCTTTATGGTGGTATTTTCATTTTCGGAAAGAAGAAAAAGGTGGTACAAGAGAAACTATTTTTATCTGTAATTTCTTCTTTGCGTAGTTCAGCAGTTGGAAACGAAATTGAGATGTAGCGCTGCTAAACGCTGTGAAATCCAATGCGCAACAGCAAATCTCTTCGCCTCATGTATACTTAATTGTTAATTGATGGATATCTTTTTCTCAACCCAAAGTATTCAACTTGAATCTCAATTAGATTAACCACTTTTGTGTTGGTTTAACTGATTTGTGAATGTATATTTTGGTATGCAGGATTAGTGCAGTGGCTAGCTTGGACCTTAGGTCGATATCCCTGCATCCTAATTTCGACAGGGGTCAAGACTCCTGATAATTTGTATGTCATCATTCAATGATGAACTAATCTTCCAATGCATCGAAAATGAATTGAGCGCCCAGCCATCCGATGACAACAGCCAATGGGTAGGTTCTATCGTTCCTCTGATCTCTCGAAGTCTGTCTGAATTTCATTGTGCTTGATGAATATGCTTCCTGCTGTCATTCCACCCCGCAAAGTAGCTTCAAATGGGGGACGTGATCATCTGAGGTATAAGAGAATTGGAGTGAACCAAGAAACAAAGTTTTATGGAGAAAGGATTCTTAAATTCTTTGATGCTGTGGGTCAAAACACAGATTTTCAGAGAAAGGACTGTTAAATTCTTTCAATCAAAATGGTGTAAACCAAGTGTACTTCATGGAGAAGAGTTTACCATGGCTTGCTTAGTTTACCATACCTAAAATGGAGGTGTACGATTGTATCAATGTTGTCACGACGGCCCGATGACCTAACTGGTGAAGGCACCGGTTTAGTTAGATCAGCTGAACCGGACAAGTTCACCTATAGGACTGGTCTAAAAAATTAACTAATTAATTAAAAAAAAAAAAGAAAAATGGGAAAACGACAGAAGTTTAATTTATGTTTTTTTTTTCCATTTCTATTTTTCCTTTTTTTATTTTTTGCATTTTCTATTTTTTGTGTATTTCCCATACCAAAAATTGAAAAAATAAAAACATAAAAAAAAAAAAGGATTTCCAAATGTATTTGTATTTACTTTTTTGTATTTCGTTTTTGGTTTAACTTGTAATGACTTTTACAAAACAAAAACTAAAAGAGAATTGCGATTTTGGAAAGAAGAAATTTATTTATTTTCTTCTTTTTATTCTGCATTTTATTTAGGTTCCACTTTCTAGCCCCTTACGAATTATGACATTAAAAGTTAAAATTATATGTGTAAAATAAAACAACCCAAAAACATTAGGGATTTTCCTATTTTTCTGTATTTTTGGGTCATATTTTCTAGGGCCTTTGCAAATTGTAAAAGCCCTTCAAAATAACCTAAAATTAAAACCAAAGATAAAAATGCAATACCAAACAACAAAAACCTAATTCTTAATTATCCATTTTCATATTTTCTAAACCCTAAAGTACTAAATATTAAAATTACTAAAAAAAAGTTCTCAAAAATTACTAAATATTAAAAATAAAAACTAAAATAAATAAAGAAACTAACCTGACTGTTGCAGGTGGCCATAATCTCGCTGGAACTGTCTAGAATCTTGTTTGGGACTACTGTACTGCTTGAGGTTTGACGTTCGAGAGCTTGGGAGAGAGATAAAGGTATGAAAAAAAGAATTTCTTCTCTCTTTCTCTTAATTCTCTTTAAAAGTTCACCTTTAGGTTTTAATTTATGGTTTTACTTTTACCCCTTTTTGTGTTTAAAGGGTGAGAAAGCTCTCTCTTATGACCCTTTTATCTTAAAATTAAAGAAGGGAGCAGAAATTATTTTTTGCCCATATTTGGATCGAATGGTTCACGACTGAACCGGTAGACCGGACAGTCCAATTATTGGGCTAGACAGTTCATAGGTTCAGAGCGGGTTCATGTCCTTGCAAGCAAAAAACACCAGTTCACTGATTGAATTAGCCGGTCCGCTCTGTTTTTCACATCACTGAATTATAGAACTTTGTGATATTAAAAGGAATCTCAAAAACTGTAATCACATGGTAAGGTGCCCAAATGAAAAAGGCATTGTTATGCCATTTTCTCTTTTTTTTTTTGTAACCATCATTTTTGAGGCGATGAAAGAGGGAAGTCAGAGGCAACACCATTGGAATAATTGCAAGATAAAAAAGTTAACCATTTAGTGTAATTGAATTTTGTTAAATCTTGGTCAAGTTAGCAACAGCTGGCAGATTAATTTAATATTTTTTTGTAAAGAATAGGAAAAATTACATTATTCACCATATGCGAAAGATACTCCACATAATAGTTCTCTCATCATTTACACTACTTTTCTTTTTCATCAACCCTGATGTTACTTACAATGGCATTCAAGACGAAATAAAAATAATGAAAGATTTTTCATCTCTCTGCCCTTCTTCTTTTCTCTCTAAACTCTCGTCGCTGAATCTTGCATGGTAATGGTGGTAGAGGCGCCCCTGTGAGGGGCTAAGTGGTCATGTGTGTTGTCTTTTCATATATGTACTAAAAGATGATCAATCAACTTGTTGCTTTGAAGGACCTCGATGAACCTTGGGACGCCGCCCATGCATTTGTTTTCTTGAGCCAGGGCCTTTTTTTAGGGGTGGAGTCATGCATGTTTTTAGTGCTTGGCTCTTGTTGTTGGAGTCCTCATACAAGAATGCGAATGCATGTAACAGAGACACTCATTGGCATAAAATATAGAACACTTTATGTATGTGTAGGACTGTGAAAGAAGAAAGACGTAATAAAAGAAAGGGTGCAGTTGGCATATGGATGCATCCGTAGCTGTAGAGGTAAGGTGCCCTTCCAAATTTTATCATGGTATATAATTTCGATGTAAATTGTTATTAAGATTATCTCAAAATCTATTTTTATATCTAATTATAAAATTTTAAATTTCAAAAATAGTTAAAATCAAGTACATCTATAAACATATGAAAATCTTGAAAATGGACAGTGTAGATAATATGCTGTAAAACGCACTATTTTTTAGACTTAAAATCTTTTATTTTTCATGGTCATACATGTCGATGTTGAGGTGATCAATCAAATGGTTTTTCAACATTAAAACTACTTTTCTGATGGATTTTTGAGGTACATTCATAGCTATAGAAGTAAAGTTGCAACTTTATATAAACTTTTTCTTAAGAGAAAATATTAAGTACAAGATTTAACATGGGGTCACCCTTTCCTGCAAAGTTCCTAAGAGATAGGCAAACAATCCACTAAAACAATGGGGTTACAATGATTTGGTGAAACAAAGTCTTTCTTTCACGAAGCAATCTCCTTCATGGGTTTCCTACTTTAGGAGGCTCCCCTTCTTTTGGACTACAAACCCCTATAACTCTCTTTAAGTGTCTCTTTAATCTCTCTTATGTTTTTTTTTCTCTAGAGGCTTCTATTCTTTAAAGTTTTTATCTCTAGAGGTTGTCTACTCTTGAGGGTTTCTCTCTTTGAACGAGTTTTCTCTTCCCTTGAATGCCTACAAATGTGCTAACACATATTCATAAGTTGATTAGGGTTGGGTTTAACCTCTCTTCACTCATGCCCCTTCATTTTGGGCAATGCCATAGCAGTCCAACGCCTATTTTAATGTAAATGGGGTCCCTTCCTCATGGAATGGAATGCCTAACAATCTTCCACTCCAATCTCATGAAGGGGAGCTCAGTTTTATATATGCTATTCTGATGATAGCCATCTAGTCATGCTTTTGCAGAACTATTTCTTGTCTCTAGCCGAGGTAATTGTTGACATTATTTGGTACATTCTTGTCAGTATTAACCAGCTCTAGTTGCGATCATTTTGCTCTAGGATATCTTAAATCCAATGGTAAAACACATCACCCTCGAATGTAAACTAGCATTCTTGCTTAATGGGATTGCACTTTAATATACATCTCCTATTCAAGTCTAACTCTTGGACGAATTTCTTTGTCTATAACATCTCTTTGTTGGCTTTTGCAACTATAAAATATGTAGGATTTGTAGTTGAGATGGCCACAGACTTCTTAACTTAGACTATCACGATATAGCTCCCCTAAAAAACTAAACATGTATCCTGATGTTGACTTTCAAGAGTCTATATTTCAAGCTTTTCTGCATCTAGGTAACCCTGTAGCACAACTGTACCTCCTTGAAATATTAAATACACTTTGGATGTTCTTTCGATATAATTGAAATTCCACCTGACTGCTGCTCAATATTCCATGCCATGTTTTGAAATGAATATGCTAACTACGCCAACTCTGTGTACAATATCTAGCCTCATGCACAATATGGAATATATTAAACTTCACATGGTTGATGAATATGGTACGTTCTCCATTTCTTCATTGTACTTTACATTTAAAGTGCTTCGTTGGTACTTAACTTGAAGTAACTCTCATGTGGGGAACCGAAAGGTGTCGTCTTGTTCATGTTGAATATTCCGAGTACTTTTTCAATACGCTTTTCTTTTGACAAACTTTATTTTCCAACCTTCACGTCACAAGATATCTGTTGGCTATGTGGCCGTTCAAAGCTATAAAGCAAAAAGGCTTTTGCTTAGTGGGAGCTAGAGAGAGAGAATGAATCTGGCTGCTTGACACACTAGGCCCAGATTCATATACCCCGAGTTTTATGGGACATTGAGTGCTTATAGATTGATAGAGTGATATCTCGAGGAGGTGTGAGGGTCACCTTTAAGTCAGGGTTATATTGATTAGAATGCCTCATTGTTGTTGCGATAAGCATGGACTTGGAGAATCCAATTGAGTATAATAGAATCCGAGTATTTAAAAGAGTATTCGGCCTATAAGGAATAGTCAGCTCATGGGGCATAAACCACGTATCCTGATGTAAGACCGTTCCATGGCATGTGCACCCACAGTTGTATAAGGAAGTCACTCTTTTATAGTATTATCCGACTTAGAGGAGCTAGTGTACATGTGCTTTGAGATGACCCTTGTATTAGAGTAACAACATGTCCCACAGGGGTGTATCAGTATTCCATTGAACCCCCGATGATAGAAAGCTCTGGCTTAACGACTTTGATGTGACCAATTATGTATCGTTACCATAAACTATGGAGCATAGGCCCGTTAGGTCGACTTGAGACATCGATAGAACGTTTTTCGGGTTAGCTCAATAAAAGACTCCGACTAGTGTTATAAGTTTAGAGATCTCATTTACCTTTGGCCCAAATTAATCTAAAATTGGTGAGGAAAAAATTTATATGATGAAAAATTGTGAAATAATATTGACAAATCATTTGGAAAATTTTTGAGATTTTTGGATAATTGTTTTGGAATTTTTAAATAATAAAAAATGTGATTTCAAATTTGTTTGACATAAATACTAAATAGGGACATCTTATGGGGACGCCAATTATAACACTAACTTGTTTATTCATTTTAAAGAGAGAGGGAGAGCCCCCTTGACAAAATTGTGGTCACCAATGAGACTATCTTCTTCTTTGGGCTTTCATTTGAAACCCTTTTATGGAGTAGTCCCTCATGTACGTGATCAATCACATACTATTGCTTCACTAAGGTAGTAATTTTTCTACATATAATTCAAGTCCTACCTCATTTTCATTTTCAAAGCTTGTTGTAATTTTTAATTTACAGTAGTTTTTCATTTTTGGTCATAAAAACTTGATATTTGTAGAGTCCTAAAGCAATAGTGTAGTTTATACATATAGTATGTATATAATTGCTTGCTTGCTCATGATTTTAAGTAGTTTCACCTTGATTTTCTTGATCTTATTTTTTTGAAAATTTTACTGAGAATATATAACTGATGAGAGGTTTATTTCATCATATTTGAGCATATAAAATAATCTATTAAGTACTTTTTTTAATGTTGAAAACTTCGTGTGGTCCCTTATAGACCACATGGAGTAGTTTCACTATAACCTCCTTATTTTTTGTAGTTTCTCTTTCAAAATTTGAAGGGTTGTTTTGATACATGTCTCCCTCATGATTTGATCCCCATTAAGTGAAATAAAAGTAATCATTTGCTTCCCATTGGATTGATCTCCTTGAGTTATTACTATCACCCGTGCCTTAGACAATGAGACAAAATTAAGTCCTCAAAAGACCATTTTATGGACCGGGCACAATGTGTTCGAACCATGGATTTCTCCACGTACTTTTGTGTGTTAATTTGATGTATTTACAATTATACATCAAATTTGTGTGTTAATTTTATTAACTCTCACAAATTATTCCAAAATTGGACTTAATGGGAAATAAAACATAAAGCTAAAGGCTTTAAGGTAAAGTGACTATGAACCTAGGTTTGAAGGAGTGAAGGGTGTCAAAAACCCATCCATTGATCTTAGCGAAAAGATATGGATGAGTGACTTGGATAAAATCCTCTTATGTACCATTGATCTATGACATCAACGATCAAAATCAAATCCACCTTTATGATCTAAGTGTAAAAGTAACTTATGACGTCAATTATAACACTAACTTGTTTATTCATTTTAAAGAGAGAGGGAGAGCCCTCATTGACAAAATTGTGGTCACCAATGAGACTATCTTCTTCTTTGAGCTTTCATTTAAAACCCTTCTATGGAGTAGTCCCTCATGTACGTGATCAATCACATACTATTGCTTCACTAAGGTAGTAATTTTTCTTCATATAATTCAATTCCTACCTCATTTTCATTTTCAAAGCTTGTTGTAATTCTTAATTTACTGCAGCTTTCTTCATTTTTTGTCATAAAAACTTGATATTTGTAGAATCCTAAAGCAATAGTGTAGTTTATACATATAGTATGTATATAATAGCCTGCTTGCTCATGATTTTAAGTAGTTTCACCTTGATTTTCTTGATCTTATTTTTTTGAAAATTTTACTGAGAATATATAACTGATGAGAGGTTTATTTCATCATATTTGAGCATATAAAATAATCTATTAAGTTCTTTTTTTAATGTTGAAAACTTCGTGTGGTCCCTTATGGACCACATGGAGTAGTTTTACTATAACCTCTTTATTTTTTGTAGTTTCTCTTTCAAAATTTGAAGGGCTGTTTTGATACATGTCTCCCTCATGATTTGGTCCCCATTAAGTGAAATAAAAGTAATCATTTGCTTCCCATTGGATTGATCTCTTTGAGCTATTACTATCACCCGTGCCTTAGACACTGAGACAAAATTAAGTCCTGACCAGGCACAACGTGTTCGAACCATGGATTTCTCCACGTATTTTTGTATGTTAATTTGATGTATTTACAATTATAGAGTGATTCATGATTGATTAAATTGAGTCTATTATGTGAATATAGAGATTGTTCTTATAATCATGTAGAACTATGTTTAATACGATGTTATATTGTTTATGTGAATTGAAATTTTATTGGATTATCATGATCAAGTATATGATATGTATGAGACATTGTGATATATGATGCGAATGAAGATGAAATTATAATGTAATTTTGATATAATGAAGAATTTTGAGTACAAGTCATTAAATATGTTGCAGAAATATACATTGTGAGTATTTGGACATTGTATTGAGTTTAATATTTGTAGGCTGGAATATATGTATTATGGATTTGTATTGAGATATTCATGCATTTAAACCTTTAAAATTTTAATACAATGAATTTTTTTTTAAAAGATTGTGTTTCTAGCCCATTGGTGTTATACCACCAACAAATGGTATCATAACAGGGCTCTAATATGGTCCCTTAGTCGTTTTATATTGTGTATAATGTAATTTTTAGATTGCATAAATCTTGATCATGGTTTCCATGATGTATGCGATTTGATTTTGAGAAATGATAATGTCATTGGTATGAGAACTAAATATTTTCCAAAACTGTTGTCTGTATGTGAGAGAAAAGTAGGGCATTCACTACTTTATATAAGACAATATTATTTGGTAGTACTCTGTGTTATTGAGTCTATTTTCATATGGAAAAGGTCTCATGACCATATTATGTATATTTTAGAAGTTATTGACAGTTTATTAAAGTGTGCCAGATTTCTGAGATTATTTTTCACGAACTTTACACTTCTGTGTGTGGTTCTATTGAGTCATCTAATAACAATACAATATATATAGTCAATATATTATGCTCATAGAAAAATGAGTCTTGGTTTCAAAAAACCAAGCCTCATGAGTAAATTCCCCATATTTTGAAAGTTATGGTCGTTTGACTACATGGGTGTCATACTATAATTTTTGCTATACATAGCAGACATTGAACCTTTAAGAACCATTATGTTTAACCTACTTTGGTCCATTATTACATAATGATTTCTAATAAAACTTGTATCATTTTGAGTGTTATTTATGTAAAAACAAGTCCCGTGATTAATGATAAGTCAATTTAAAATTATGTCCGTTGAAGTGGACAGTGGTCATCCTGAAAAATCAGAAAAACAGTATTTGCTATATCCAATTTGTATGAAGAGAATGGGTGTTTACATTTGTGTAATCCCACAATGAAGTATACGTTGTTGAAAGTCCTTATGATTTCTTAGGGTATTTTAGATCAGTGGGGGAGTTACATAAAGCCTACTGAATCGTGAGTATGAGTTTTAATACCTGATTCCCCGAGTCTTGTTTTAGATCTGAGCTACTCTCAGACAGTGTGTGATGAAGTTGACAACAAGACTAAAGACGCATGTGGATGGATAAGACAAAGTATATAATTACAAAAGAGAGATAAAAAGGGTGAATCTAAATCACAGATCGAAGACAAGGTATTGACACATTATGTCACTTTAAGACCATAAAGTATGACTTCTTTCTACCTTTGTGCATGATTTCAATATATTGATAATTCATTTCTTAAAGAATAGCCTTTTTAATTTTTATGATATCTTATGAGTAATTATTGACAGAATATCTTCATGTATTATATAAGTTTAATGATTAGAAGGCTTGGACTCATCACATAAGCTGTAAACTTGAATTAGGCCGATATTTACATATTGAGATTTTGAATGCTTGTGTCAACTCTTATATGAGCTTAAGACATATATCATATACCTTGATTTTAGATTTATAATCTTTGATTCAAAATACCGATCCTATGAACATGGTTAATTCAAGATATATGGCATGTGTAAGTATTGTATTTACGATTGTTTGAAAATTATGTGACATGTAGAATGTTTATTATTTGTTCATAAGATGTATCATGAATATGACATTAGCATTGACTAGTCTTTATGGTGCCTCAAGCTATACGCTTCATTATTTTGAGTTTTCCAATATGATGAGATAATGTGATATATTATATTCTCATTCTGTGAGTACTTAGTGATGTATGATCCCAACATATTTGAATAAGTGAACGTGGTATATGTTATGAAAGGTATATGAGGTTTGTCACATCGCAGTTAAGGCTCGATAATCATGGAAAATGGATTTTTCATATGTGAGATAAGTCTTTCCTTAGAAGATACATATTTTCATTCTTTTGGAAATTGAGATCAATCGAACCAAAATGTAGCTTGAGTTTGGATTGTAATAATTAAGGAAATGAGATGAAAGAGATTTAACCTTAAATGCTTTTTCTTCTGAAAGAGGATTTCTATATTTAAAATGTTTTAACATAAGCGGATGTTAGAAACCATAAAGGGGATTCCACCCCATTTTGTTTATGTATTGTCTTTCCATTAAAAAGTTATGACTATGCTAAAGTTCATGCTCCTTCCATTTGGGAAAATTGCCCTTAAAGACGTTCTTTTAACGTTATGGTACGACCATATAACTGTGTATCATTATATTTTGGAGTATCTCATAGTCATCAATCTTTGAATAAAGTTCTTTTGGAAACCTTTGAAGTTTTACTTAAGAGTAAATTGCTTTCCAAGACATAAATTCAAGTTATTTTGAAAGACAACCTTGTTAGTTTTAGCAGGAGCATCTTTAGTAAGTCTAAGTAGTAAAACCATCCTTAAAGAGATAATCTTGATATTGATTTTGAAAAAACTTATATCTAAAATCAATTTCACTTATGAAAACTTGGAATATGCATTCAATATGAATAATTTGTAAATAAAAGCCGAAAAGAGTGTTTGATCTCTTATTTGAAATTAATCATTTTATGAGCCCATGGGCCTTCTTCTTTCGCTGCATTATAAGTATTATTGTTTGCATTTAGTGCCACATTGAGAAGTCTTAAGTCACTTAAAGACATGCCACTTGTAAGAGTTGTAAGGCATCTTTTTTATAAACTATTGAAATTTCAATGATTAATTGTGTGACATTATAGTAATAAATCCTCACTTGTCCATACATGCATTCCATGCCATGATGATCATATGTATTCACTTTCACATGGATGATTCACTTGAATGTCTCTACCGATCTCTTTAAGGCTAGTAGGCCTTTTAGTAGAGCATGCATAACCACTTGAAAATGTTTTTAATAGCATGTGAAACCTTATGCAGTGCCGCATATTTATATGTGGATTATGATATGATCATGTGATGATAAGGACACCTCATTTTGTGGGCTATTCACACTAATAGTGACTATCTATGCATGGACTATATGCATATGACCTAATGCAATTGGTTGTTTACCCTAAGATAATTTGTGAGATTAAATGTGAGAGAAATCCAATAAACTTTGATAAGTCCCACATTACATGAGATATTGCCCTAATTGATTCGAATTGATAATGTGCTTGGTTACTCAGACATGTATAATTGAACCTCTTTTGATCTTGGGATTGGATCTAATGAATAGGTTCATGATGACACCTGCTAGCCATCTAATCCGAATGTAATATCAACAAGAGATTGAATGTATTGAATGGTGAAATGCTTGAAAGTTCAAGTACTACTCCCACACATTGGTTTTGAATGGACAAGGTACTAGTCCGTAACTAATGAAACTTTGAGAACATTGCATGAGATTAAAGTGTGATTTTAATAAGCATTTGTTCGAGAACAAATATGTATCACTTGAGAATTGATAGGAGCATAGAATTGTGAACATTTGAGCACATGAATAAATGTTGAGAGAGCAAGTAAGAAGATAGATGTAAACATATATGTCAATCTTTATGAGCATACATTGTCATAAACATGTACATGAAAATATGTATAAAAGTGATTAGGAAACTTGAGAATATATAGGAGATACATGAGATTGATGATGGGAAGACTATAGCACATAACATATGTCTTTTCAATCATTCTGCCCATCCAAGTATTGTACTCTTTGCCATGCCATACGTTCTTATAGTTCTTTTCCTTTAGGGGTACCCATTATATTTGTAGAATCTATGATTGTTGAAAATGAGGATTACTCTTGCATTAGTACCAATTAGATTAGTATGTGAGGCATTGACATGAGTAAGATGACACTGAATAACATGATATTTAAATTGTGATTTGTGGTTTATGTGACATGCATCAAACATAAAAAAGAGTTCATGACAATTCTCTTGCAAGTAACACACTTGCTTTTATTGTTTCTTGACTATTGATAGTGCTATTGGACCATGCTGATTGATTATGTTTATGGAGCATACAATGGTTTATTGTTGTGCATGATGTGAGATTGAGAAAGTTAACTTGGTTATTTATACTTCTTCCTAACTTGATATGAGTATTGCTTTTATGGTTGAGAATAGATGCTTAAATTGTTTTATTATGTATAAGAATGAAAAAGAAAATCGCTTCTAAGGCCTCAAAAGGCCAAGTGGGAGAATGTTGGCTATGTGGCCTTTCAAGGTCATAAAGCCAATAGTCTTTCTCTTAGTGGGAGCTAGAGATAGAGACTGAATCTAGGTGCTTGACGTACTAGGCCCCAGATTCTTATAACCCGAGTTTTATGAGGCATTGACAACATGCATTTTGAAAGAGTAATCTCTCGGGAGGTGTGAGGGTCACCTCCGAGTCAAGACTATTGATTAGAATGCCTCATAATTGTTACGATAAGCCAGAGCTTGGAGAATCTAATTGAGTATAATAGAACTTCAGTATTTAAAAGAGTATTTACCCTGTATGAAACGGTTACCTTATTGGAAATAAGCTCATATCCTGACACGAGACTGTTCCATACCATGTGCACCCACATTCGTATGGGGAAGCCACTCTTCTGTAGTATTATATGACTTAGAGGAGCTAGTGCAGATGTGCTTTGAGAGGATCCTTATATTAGAGTAACAACATATCCTACAGGGCTGCACTGATAATCTATTGAACCCCCGATGACAGGAAGCTCTGGCTCAACGACTTTGATATGATCAATATGTGTCACTACCATAGACTATGAAACATAGATCCGTTGGATCGACTTGAGACACCGGTGGAACATCATTTGGGTTGGCCCAATGGAAGGCTCCGGCTAGTGTTATTAGTCTAGATATGTCATCTACCTTTAGCCCAAAATAATCTAAAATTGATGAGAAAATATTTTATATTGATGAGAAATTGTGTAATAATATTGACAAAATATTTGGAGAATTATTGGGATTTGTTTGAGATTTTTTAAAAAATTTTAAATAATATAAAATGTGATTTTCAATTTGTTTGACATGAATACCAAATTAGGATATCTTATGGGGATGCCACATGGATCCCAAGTGGCTATAAGGATGCCACGTGGCACTCCCACCTCCCTACTCGTGGATGACATCATGCTGATGTCATATCCACATGAGAACCTATTTTATCATTAGTTCTTTTGGAGGTATTGTGTTATAACATGTTATCTTGTTATTTAAAGTGTTATATAATTTTATGATTTAAGTTTGATTCGAGTCACATGTCTATTTTTGCTCACATGTGCCATTATTTTTGGCATGTGTGAAGTCGTGAGATTTTAAGAATTAATTTGATTTATGTTATTATCTACATATGATTTTGTGGCATGTGGGTATATCTTATGTGGCACCACCTTATGGGCTTGACCCATATGAAACTTTAGTGTTGTGAAAATCCTATTAGTGGTGTCATAAGATATTTTATTTACATTTGTGGATGTCCCATATTACCTTTATGTCCATGTTCTTATCTTTTATTGACTCTCACAAATTAATCAAAAACCATGGGCATAAGTGTAGACATGAATTTAGATGTAATGGGCTATAAAACATTGAGCTAAGGGCTTTAGGTAAAATAATTATAAACATAGGTTTTAAGGAGTGAATGATGTTAAAAGCTCATCCATTGATCTTGGTAATAAGATATGAATGAGTGACTTGAATAAAAGACTCTCATGTATCATTGATCTAAGGCATCAAGGATCGAGATCAAATCCACCTCTATGATCTAAGTATAAAAGTAACTTATGAGATCAATTATAACCCTAACTTATGTATTCACTTTAAAGAGAGAGAGATCCCCCTTGACAATAACGTAGCCACCCATAAAACTATCTCCATCCTTGAGCTTTCATTTGAAACCATTCTATTGATTCATTAAAGTATTGATTTTTCTTCCTATAATTCAATTCCTACCTCATTTTCATTATCAAAGCTTACCGTAATTCTTAATTTACAGTATCTTTCTTCATTTTGGGTCATGAAAACTTGATATTTGTAGAGTCTCAAAGCAATAGTATACTCTATACACATAGTATGTGTACGCTAGCTTGCTTACTCATGATCATGAGTAGTTTCACCTTTAATCTTATTTTTCTGGAATTTTTACTGAGGATAGGCAACTGATGAGATGTTTATTTCTTCATATTTGAGCATATAACATAGTCCCTTGAGTTCATTTTTTAATGTTGAAAAGTTCGTATGGTCCCTTATGGACCACATGGAGTAGTTTCACTGTAACTTCTTTATTTTTTGTAGCCTCTCTCAAACTTTGAGTGGCTGTTTTGATACATGTCTCCCTCATAATTTGATCCCCATTAAGTGAAATAAAAATGATTATTTTCTTTTTATTAGATTGATCTCCTTGAATTATTATATCACATGTGCTTTAGACAATGGGACAAAATTAAGTCGTCAAAAAGCTCTTTTTTGGCCCGAGTATAAGGGGATTGAACCATGGCTTTCTCCATTTTATGTTTGCATATTAATTTGATATATTTACAGTTATTGAGGGATTCATGATTAATTAAATTGAGTATGTTATGGTTGAGTATTGAGATTGTTCTTATAATCATATAGTATGAGCTTTAATGCGATGTTATATTGTTTATGTGAATTAAAATCTCATTGGATTATCATAATCAAGTGTATGATGTGTATGAGACATCGTAATATATGATAAGGATGAAGAATGCAGACGGATAATTTTGATATAACGATGAATGTTGGGTACAAATCATGTAATATATTGTAGAGATGTACATTGTGAGTATTTGGATATTGTATTGAGTTTAATTATATTTTTTAATAAGGGATTTGTAAGGGACCTATTAGGGTTGAATTTTTATTATTCCAACGTGTATAAACCATGTTTGTAGGCTAGCATAGATGTATTATAGTTTTGTATTGAGCTATTCATGCATTTAAGCCTTAGAGTTTTAATACAATAATTTTTTTTTTTAAAGATTGTGTTTCTAGCGCATTGGTCTTAAACCACCAATAATATCTTGATTCCCAAGATTTGTTGAGGTAGTTCTAAGTCCTTCATGGCAAAGGCCTTGCTCAACTCTTGTTTCAACATATTGATTTTGTTGACATCTTGACTAACAATTAATATGCCATTAAAATACAGTAAAACGAAAGTTACAACATCGTCATGGAATCCCTTAACAATATACAATGGTCTGAGGATGTTTTCTCGTACTCATGATTGCAAATGAACGAAGCAAAATTTTTATACTACTACCTTGGGGGATTATTTAAATCCATGTAGGTTGTACTTTAGCTTCCAAAACAATTGCTCATTTCCATTCACCTTAAATCCTAATGGCTGCTCCATTTTAATGGTTTCCGCTAAATTACAATGGAGAAAGGACTAATTGCTCAAAATTTACCTTGAAGCTTGCATCTGGGCCTAATAACACTTGAATTGGTGATATTTTCACCACAGGAGAACATATTTTATCAGAACTGATGCCATTCTTTTGCCTGAAGCCCTTCTTAATCAACTTTGTTATATGCCCTTTGTTTTGAGCTATTTTCTTCATTAATTATCTTAAATGCCTACTTGTTATTTAGTTTATTCTTAGCCTTTATCGACTTTACCAAGTCATAGGTGTGTTTCTTATGCAAGAAATCCATCTCTTGCATTGCTTGAACTCCCTCCTCCTAGTATTCGTCAACCTGAGCTTCTTGGTAGCTTATGGATTGCTCCCTTCCTTATACTAGACATACTCTAATGCAAAGTACCTATTTGATGGTCTTAGTGCCATAAATGACATTCTTAGTTCAACTACAGGTTGCTCCCCTTACTTCATATTACACAAAATTGGCCCATCATACTCTTAGGATCTATACTTTTTTAGTTATTTGTTTACTTCCCCGTGTCTTCATCGTGCACATGGTTGGAGGAACTATATTTGGCTTCTCCTCATCTTCAATGGTTAGATCTTCTTGAAAGACCATATCTGTACTCTTGATCACCTTTTTATCCTCAGGGCCCCATTGCCTATAGTTGCTTTATCTGAGAATTGCAAGAAGAAGCATGGGAGTACCTATTCATCCAACTTTGATATTTCTTTCATATATAAGTGAAGAAATGCTTCTTTGCTAAGACCTGTATTCCGTTTTCACTCATGTAATCGAGTCGCCTGTGCCACATGTTAAATGAAGATTATTCCATGGTGACATTGCCTTTCTTTTTTCAGATCTGGCACGTGTATTTTGTCCTTTAGTACTAACTTCATCCTTATATCGGTGTTCACATATACATCTCTTTTTTCCAAAATCTTTGAGGAACCATTGTACCCTATCTTCATC